GCGCTCCTGCAGGAGCCTTACCTATTTCCCTCACTGCCGCAGCAGTGTCTGCTCCCGCAGGAGCCTTTTCTGTATTCCCCACTGCCACAGCAGTGTCTGCTCCCGCAGGAGCCGTTATATGTATTTCCCCACTGCCGCAGTAGTGTCCGCTCCTGCAGGAGCCTTTTCTGTATTCCCCACTGCCACAGCAGTGCCCGCTCCCACAGGAGCCGTTATATATATTTCCCCACTGCCGCAGCAGTGTCTGCTCCCGCAGGAGCCGTTATATGTATTTCCCAACTTCCGCAGCAGTGTTCGCTCCCACAGGAGCCTTTGTCTGTATTTCCCCACTGCAACAGCAGTGACTGCTCCTGCAGGAGCCTTTGTCTGTATTTTACACTGCCGCAGCAGTGCTCGCTTCCGCAGAAGCCACTTTCTCTTTTCAGATGCCGTAGCAGTACCCACTCCCACAGGATTTTTCTTTTCAGGTGACGCAGCAGTACCCGCTTCCGTAGAAGCCACATTCTCTTTCAGATGCCGCAGCAATGTCCGCTTCCGTAGTAGCCTTTTCTGTATTTCCCCTCTGCCGCAGCAGTGTCAGCTCCCGCAGGAGCCTCTAGCTCTCTCTTCTAAAGCCACAACAGTGCCGCTACTACAAGCGACGTCCAGCACCCCACCAATCTTAAGCTTTGCAAATTTTGGGGGGTTATCAACACCCCTCTCTGGCTGCTGTCCCATGCTAAATGCATCTTTGGGGGAGCGCTCTGGGTCCGGGTTAAAGCCGAGCTTGGAGCCCTCTCCCCGGACACCACGCCAAATACGCATAACCTTTACTCAGTTTATTATATGTAAGTGTGAACTCATGAAGTGATGTTTTATTAACAAATTTTGGGAGGAGCACGCGCAGATAATTAACACGGCCAATCCATCATCAGTAATTACACCATCTATCCAACCAGCACAAGAGAGAACCCCTATAAATAATCAAAGCAGTCTTACCTTCATTATTTCTAGTCTTTCAGCATCCCTCCACCACCCCGACTCCTCACCTTCAGCCCATTCCTACCCTAGCACAGGGAGGAGCACTCGGGGGGAGCGCTCTGGGTCCAGGCTAAAAGCCGAGCTCGGACCCCTCTCCCCGGACAGGGGGAGTACTCCGGGCCAGAGAGTAATTAACGAGCTCGGAGCCCTCTCCCCGGACAGCACGCCAAATACGCATAACCTTTACTCAGTTTATTATATGTAAGTGTGAACTCGTGAATTCAGTAATAATTGACGGTGTGTGTGTGTGTTTTAGCCTGGTTCCAGTGCAGACGAAGGCCCAAATATCAGTGTGCATGCAGAGCCACATAGTCTGGAGCAATGCCGCAAACTCATCCTTGAGTGGGCACAGGAGCTCAAGAAATTTGACGATGTGAGTTCATGGATATAAGATACTTATGTATAAACATCATGCATTGTTTTCATTAAGAAAAAAGATTTTATCTGTTTATATTCTCCCTCCTATAGTTGTTTAGTGAGGGCACATGGCGACAAGAAAGAGATGCATCTTGGGAGCAGAAAGAGAACAAGGTGGATTCTGCCAAACATATGGAGCAGAAGATCATGGAATGGGCTAAAGAGCTACAGACTGTATCGGAGGTGAGGACAGTGGGTTTGACCCCATGTGACATATGTAATAATGTGCAAAATCTGTATACAGTATATTATGTGAGTATACAAGTAAAAAAAAATTCCCCATGTACAGCGCTGTGGTGTGATGAGACAAGAATTAGCCCATTTTCTGAAGCAGCTGGAACTGAAGAAGAGGAAAATCTTGACTCTGTTGCCTTTTTTGGAATTCATAACTTGGTCTCTACTGAAACAGGACAGCCAGGTACAAGTTTTAGAAAAAACAAAAACAAAAAAAAAACATCTAACTGGAGTCCATAGTTTACACCCATAAACTGAATCGACAAACAATCATTATCAAGAGATACTTGTGTAACCAGTTTGGCACAGCTTATAGACCGGTACGATCATCCCCAAGTTGGTAACATGTTTTTGAAGATACTAGACATTAACAGAGGTTAGGGTTCAGCATAATTACAAATGCAGATGTTTATATATTATATATAAATTTATTTTTATTTTATTTATTTTTTAAATATATTCAGCCTAACCACTTCTTATTGAGTTACAAATTAGGGATATAACATTATCTCATATATGTTGTACAATATATAATAATGTCATTTAGTAATATAAGCAGTATATTTATGTGTATGTATTACATTCAGTGTTTTTTTTAGGGTGTTGTTCCACAGCTATGGCTCCTCAGCAAACAGCGTACCTGGAAAACAGGTAAAACCTTCACTTGCATCCTTAAATAGACTAAAACGGTGATTTAGCAAATTATATTAAATTCCTTTTAGGAAAAAGTGATAGTTTAAATGATTATAAAATGTTTTGACGTGCTCATACTTTATTATACTGTACATTTGTTTTGACAGAGACACCAAAGTACATTCCAAACTCAGGTACTGATTTTTGCATTTATCGTGTTCAATACACAATTTAATGTGGAAAGCATCTACAATGCAATTACATTCATCATATCACTATTTTCCATAGTATGGAGATGGATCCGCAGTGCTTCAGGTATCTTTCATTCAGCCGTTTATGATTCAGCTGCCAATGAAATTCCTGTTGGCTTAAGAAAGTTTTTCAATTTTATCTTTGCACTTGTTTAGTGGACATCACACTGGACCCCATGACAAACCACCCATGGTTGCAGCTCTCTGATGACAAGAGAAAGGTACAGGAAGCTCTGAATGAAACTGAAGTGTCCTTCAGTACCCAGCGCTTCGACAGCTGGCCGTGTGTCCTGGGCTGGGAAGGGCTCACTTCCGGTCGGTACTATTGGGAAATTGATATTGCCAACAATGGCTACTGGCGTATTGGAGTGACCACTGCATCCTCCAAAAGGCACGGCCGGGGTCCCATGAACCCCTCTGAGGGCTTCTGGACAATATGGAGAAGCACACGGCAGTTTTATGCATGCACCAAGCCGGAGACCGAGCTACCTCTGTCACTTGTGCCCAAAAAGCTGGGAGTGTACCTGGACTATGAAGAAGGACAGGTGTCTTTCTATAAAGTAGAGACACGCTCACATATCTTTACATTCACCGCAAATTTCCGTGAAAAGTTGTACCCGCTTTTCGCACCACTGGATGGACGCACACTTATCACACTGTCCTCCACAGAAGTCACACCAGAGGCGTCCTCTCGTGAAAGTGTACAATTCTTTTAACTTGACAAATGTTTTAATAGGGGACTAATGAGGACAGATAAGCGGCCCTTTTAGTGCTTAAATACAAATACAGCTGCAAATCATCGGGCTCAAGAGCGGATTGGAAAGGTGGATAAAATTATTACAATTGTTAGATCTAAAGGATGAGATCCTGTGGGTACTGTGAAGTTGTTTTGGTTGTAAATTTCAACTTCAGTACAGTTGCAAAATTCGGAGGATTTTCACGAGTTCCCTTTTAATGGAAAATTATGAAATTTGGCATATCCTTAGACCGCTCTGGCATCAATGTGTGCAAAGTTTTGTGAACTTTAAATGCTGTGCCCACAATGCACAGGTCAATTAGTCCTTGTGGAGCATGACTAACAACAATTTGATAAATCAATATTCTTAAAATCATTTTTGTAAGGTATGCTTCTCAATGATATTCTCCATTTTATCCAAATCCAAAATGCCTAGGAGGAGTACAATGGAGTATGTTTTTTAGAAAATGTCTATATATAATCCATAAAAGCATTTGTTTCTAGCCCACATGATCGTTATTAACAATAATGTAAGTTTGCCTAATATAGCACCATCTACTGTGGAAATAAAGTGTGTACACTTAGTGGGTGGGATTTGAAACCATCCTATTAAATTTAGGGTATTATGTATGGAGGATGGTTTCGGAAGCTTTGCTGTTTGGAGTGCTAACAGTGAATACTTGAAGAGATTCATAAAAATACTATACAAGCACACTGTGATTGACTACAAGCTCCAAATTGATAGTTGTAACACACAGAACAATGTTTTTTAAGTTAATGTTAATACAATGTAATCTTTTTATTATGAATCTTAGATGCATGCAATATTTTGTCGCTTATCTTCATTATTTAAAACCATAAAAACTTTACTGTCATAATGCTGTAAAAATGTTACAGTGCATTAATGCTGGAACCAGAAAAGAAATCAAGACACAAATGATTTTTTTAAAAGAATGTATTTAAAAAAAATCATTCTTACAAAAAAAAAAAAGCTTAGCTACAAATAAATGCATGTGTGTATATATGTATAAAAGATAACTATGTGTATACAGTAAATAAAAAAAAACAGCATAAAAATATACATTAAGTTTGAACAGTAGAATAGTATTATCAAGATTACCAGGAGGGACTCAAACATGCCAGGAGTTCTTGACAATTGAATTTGCATATGAATATGAATGGAAATTAACCTAATAAAAAGGATTCCAAAAACAAAGTGTAATTATTTTTTTTTGTGTTATTTTTATTAGTTATTTGGCTTGTAACCATTTATACTGGTTTTATCTAATCAGTAATGGGCTTTTCTTAAAAAAAAAAAAAATTCAACAAAGTGGTCATCCAGTAAGTCAGTGACAATTTTACAACCTTACCACTACGTGTTGGGAGGAAAGTGACCTGCACTGACCTACAACAGAAATAATCCCACACACGGTTAAACCTCATTGCTGGACATTCATTTATCGGGTCTGCAAAATGATGGGTCAGCATTGCTCCTCCAGTGCTGATAAAGCACTACACACCTACAGCATCCGGCCATTACTAGCCTCATTCATATAGACCACTTCTGAATCAGCTGACTTACAAAGGTCCCAGTGGAGTAAACAAGATAACACATGACATACAGGACTGAGGGATCATGGATCTGCAAATCACCAAATGCTCCCTATGACAAACTGTTTTGGTCAAACAAAGGCAAAAGAAAGTCATCCCAGCATCCCGCCATCCTAATCCGAGTCGCTTTTTTCATCTTTAACCATTAGTTTTTTGCCTCTTTTGGGCTCAGGTGTTTGGCCATCCTTCTCCTTCTTGCCCTTGGTGAGTCTAAAAAAAATCAGTAATAAATTAATAAATTTGAGTACTTGACTATATATTAAAAACAATCCCCGATTGTATTTTGCCTTTGTCGATTAACCAGCAAAATACCAGATAAGGCACATTCTGAGGATGAGAATCCATGAAAAGCATTATTAGACCGTCTTCTAAGGCTGCATGAAATACTAAACCATTTAAAATCATAATAAAGCATAGTGCTATTGTAAATTCACAAAGGCTGCGATTCAATTAAATAAATATATGTGCTGTGGGTTTAATATGCGCTTTATTTTTATGCGTGTAGGTTACGAGCATCTCAGAGCGGCTCCGTTCACAGGAAGTGCTGCTCCACACAAACAGTTATCATTTACAATTACATGCACGGACTGTGTCAATCTCAATCTTTCGTCTGCGAACAATGTGCAACATTCTTTCAGATTTATAAGGTAAATCATTTATAAACTTACGGCAACAAAGGAGAATGCATCATTATCTTTCTAAATATGTTAAATGTTCATCACAATTTCAAAATAGAAGTTCAAACCTTTGCTCTTAGTTTGCATGTTTTCATGTCCACCTGTGCTTGTTCAAGAAATGACAGTGGCTGTAGCATTTCTATTATATAGAAGTGACCAAATCAACCCTCTACATTGCAAGTAAATCACTCGCATATGCGACTAAATCTTACTCTGGGCGACTAAATAATGTCTAACATTAGCCATTGGCTAATAAATTCTTAGATTTTACTCGCCAGTATGTGTGTGAGAGGCGTTCAACAGATTTTCACTCGATAAACACGCTGACTATAAAAATGCAGAGTTTTCTGTGAGGGGTATTGTTAGGGGTAGGGGTGGGTTTAGTTTAAAAAGTGTATAACTATCTGTATATAAAAACAATAGAAGTCTATGTAATGTCCCCATTTAGATAGCTAAGTAAACTTGTGTGTGTGTGTAAAATAGTATATCAGTCTGGCGAGTAAACAAAAAAAATTTACTAGCCAATATCGATTATATTGCCAAGGTGTGCGTAGAGGGTTGGACGGAAATATTAAAGATCAAGAGGACTTTTGAATTAAATATTTAGTCACTATTAAACAAGGATTATATCGAGCTGTAAAGTATTAAAAACAGCCGTCAGGCCGTTGACGCCCTCTGCAGGCATTCGATATAATACATAATGTACATAAGTTATGATTATATTGTTCTATTACATTAGGCTATGTATTTTAATACTTTTGTTCAATAAAAGCAAATGGGTACTTGCTTTTGATATTTTATTTGAACCAATTATTATTGCCTCGTTGCTATTATATATGTATTTTAAGTCAGCTTAGATCTATTTTTTTTTATTACTACACACACACAAAAAAAGACCCGATTACTCAAATTATTCTCAGAATAATCGACCGATTACCAAAATAATTGTTAGTGACAGCCCTAAAAAAAGACCTTTGTGCAGGGTGTAGTTGTGGCATATCACCACTTACAATTTCTGCCGGTATTTGTCAATTTCAGATGGAGGCACCACGTCGCTCAACTCCAAACTGTCGTTAATCTTCTTCAACATTTCAAATCTGTCTTTACCCTTCACCTGCATGAAGAGAAGGCTAATATTAAAAGTCATACAAACACAAACTACACTTTGGTAAAGGTCTTAGCCAAGCATATTTGCAGTAGACAATACCATTTAAAAAGCACAAGCTAGATTAGTACACTAGCACCTTTCACACTCTCAATCAAACCAACTACCATTTCCATGAAAATCACAGGAGGATGATAAAAAAAGACACAGGAAGGTGCATGATCACCTGCAGGGTATACACCTCTTCATCACTGCTCCCACTCAGTTTGGCCTTTTTACTGCCCTCAGGTCGAGGCACAGATGAAGTTGACTCTTTCGTCAAACCTGTCAGATCAGTTTCACATTACTATGACATTTGAAAGAAATGAATGCTTTTATTCAGCAGTGTATGTGGAATCGAATTGAATTTATTTCATACACACACATGCAAACTTACTACGTTTATTAGCAGAGGGGGTCTTGCCCAAGGTTTTGGTCTCCTGGTCTTTCCTGAAGTTGCTCTCCTCAGTTTTTCGGTCTCTGCCTGGGCACGCGCACACACGCACCTCGAAAGACCTGCGGCCCAGCAACTGACCGCTGCAAGACAAGAGTAAAAGCAGATTTGATGATCCTTGGTATCCACATTGGAATACAATTCACTAACAGAGGAATCAAAGATGGACGACTCACTCATGCGTCTCCAGAGTGATGATTGTGAGGATGGGCCGGCGATTCATCCCACCCATGCAACTGCTGTTGCACATAAAGTTGTATAGCACCGTTGTAAACTCCGCTCCCAGCTACAAAAAAAAGCACAGGAAAGAGTGACATTACAATGACGAAACTTACAACAGACAAACATCAATACATTTGCAATTAAATGATTTTTTTGCTTATTATAGATCAAAATACTGAGACTGACTTGAGGAGCTTCGTAGGGAACCACCACACTGTGCCTCGAGTTGACATCATCCTCCCTGTAAAGAGCACGTGAGTTTCCTTCCACTCGGATCAGGTGAGCAGCAGGAGCCAATCCTGAGGAGGGAGTAAACCGGCTTGGTAATTGCTTTTAGTGGAACTTGCACCAGTATAGCTAGTGTTTTCCTGTACAATGGTGCAAGATTGGATGAGAAAGAGCGTGTCTATACCATCACCATCTGGGGTCCTCTCATGGTGGGGACATCGACGGACCACCTCAGCCACGTGTTCGGACTTCTTATAAATGGCTGTGGCTCTGATCACCGAGCCCTGTGGAGGGGCAACTTCCACCACCATCTGAACTGGACAAGTTTTCGCCAATTGGCAAAAAAGCTTATTCAGATCAGATGAGTACTGAAATCAGAGAGAAAGAAAAGGTGCTTTATGTTTTTGGTTCATATAAACAAAAGTCGCACGTTGAAAAAAATATTAATACGTCACAGCAGTTAGTATTAGTAGTAATCACACAAGTCAACAGAACGTTCATAACATTTGTTACTGAGAATGCTAACTGATATAACGGATGGCTTAAGATGATCAACAAGCAGTCCAAAAATGTACTAGTTGATCAGTGAGGTCAGCTACTTTAACTAGAATTTTGGTGCTTTAAAGTGAACGTCTTGAAGAGAGGTTTTAATGGACTGACACAGCGTGCTAACAATAACAAATAAATTAATCTCCTTTAAAACACCACCACTACAGGTGAAGCAAATTCACAGCCTTTAACAATAAACATGCTAATTTTGAAGTATTTGTAAAATTTTAAATTAACACTTTTAATGCATTTGTCTTATTCCAGAAAAAAATACATACAATGAAAATTATAATAAAACAAATGTTTTATCTAACCTAGTACATTAAACAGAAGGACAGAAAGATTTGTAAGTGTCAAAAGTCTCAATCTTTACTACAAAAGCTCACAGATCTTGAAAAAATTAAGTTCAGACATATATTATTAAACTGATCAGTTTTAAAATAGTATATATTATAGAAATTATATAATTTATCACATTCAAATTTGAGCTTTTGAAATTGTATTGTCCTCTTACCATACAGATCATGTGCAGTCGTGTAGTTTCTCACAGGATCTGAAACACACCAGTTTGACTATCTAGCACTATAACAGCCTAAAATTCTACTCTCTTTTCTAAAACTCCGTTTTACATGACGCACTTCTCCCTCCAACGGTTAGACTGAATTTTTGGATGCCAAAACGTCCCTGCTCTGAGTCTTGTAGACTGCAGTTTCTGTAGAACTGACACTCCCCTCCCCCACTGCTCTATGAGGACAAGTTCAGACATGTTCAAACTCCACAGATACAGCTTACTAATAAAACACTGCTGCTCAAAAAATACAAAAAAAAGGCAAAAAGCCAAAACTAAAATTAACAAAGATTTCACAGATTACAGGACTACTTAAAATATAAGTACTGTCAGATTTAATAATGTTAGATGGCTAAACACAACAGAGACTGACAAAGCTAGACGTAGGACTCATTACTAATGTAAATGGTAGTGTACACTGAGGAGTAGGTGAAAGCTTCTTTGACAAGGAATGCAGTCATCCAAGCTGCCATCTTAGAGCAACACCTCTTTCTACATACTGGACACGAGAGTGTGTATTAAACTATATTTACTAAAATACACAGATAATCTACAGAAGCTATAGCTTTTTCCCCAAATGTAGCTTTCTAATAAACCTGCCATTGTACACAATGACTGTTATTGGCTGTGTAATGAATTATTTTTCTCTATTGTAAGTCGCTCTGGATAAAAGAATCTACTAAATACGTACAAGTGTAAATGTAAGCCAAATGCACAGCCATTTCTTTCTGCAACCTCTCCAAACTGATATATGATGAATTTCTAGTAACTTTATTGAGTTTGAATCTACATATTTGCTTCTACCCATTGTTCAAACCGCTTCTGTAGGGTTGTGTGGCATAATGGATTATAAACTAATTAGTTTTGCTAAAAAATTAGGATCTGAACCAAAAAAGTACAACAGACGAAAGAGAGAGAAAAAAATACTTGGTGAGGGGTGGGAGGCGGTGGGGCAGCACTTTTTTTTTTTTTAACCCCAAAGCTACCAGAGAAGTTTTTGGCGCTCCACATGAGAACATGCCCATTCATGTCTTCAGACAATGCAATAAGAAACTACCAAATTCAATTTCTTATTTGCCCACTCCAGATGTTAGATTGACAAGCTGAATGACCACAAAAGCTCTCTACACCGGAGCATGGAATACACAAAAGATGGGAATTCTGAAGTATTATTTAGGACAGGAACGAAGGAGATGATGGAGAACGAATTAAGTCTCGCGGTATCCTGGCAGCATTCCGATTCAGCGCTCACCAGAAAGGACAATTTGAGTCTCTACATGACCTCAGGTACAAATGCATCTATGTGCATATTTGAACTACTACATAATAACGTTAGTTTACTACTAACTGTCACTAACTTTTAACTAGATATTACCACTAACACTTATCTACACTCACTAGAAACCATTTTATTTCCAAACAGAATATGAACAACCAATAGCAATAATCTGAAACTACCAAACTGATTTTTTATTTATTTAGGATGCTAGTGTATAGTAATATGAGATTAGAGGAATTATATGGGTGATCGGGTACACTAAAATGCCACATTTTACGCAAGTGGAGTACTGTATGCATGGATGTATGTGTGTATTTTTAACTTACAGTGCAGGTCACAGATTTGGCGGTGCCAGATTGCGGGAACCCCAGTTTGAAGCCATGTTCCCCAGGATAATCAGTGGCAACAGGAACAGAGGCGGACGGAGGGGAGGTGGACGGCTGAGGCTGTTCAGTCAGCACATTATCAAAAATATTTGGATCGAAGGAGCTTGGAAGATACTGCTGAAACACATAAGAGTCCAGCACTGAAAAACAAGTATGAATACCAGAGGGTATGTGTATATACATGCTGTTTTAACAATACCTCATCACTGATCAATTCCCAGCAAGTGCCGGCTTCTTGAGTGGAACTGAGACACAAATTGGGAGAGAGATAAGAGAATTAGTTTAGCATTAAACTAATAAAGCACACACAATATACACACCAGAGTACTGATGCACAATGACAAGTTCAATAGATCTTGACCAACCAAAAATAAATAAAAAACCCCAAAATTATTACAGAAACCTGACATAATATTGCCTGCACCCACATAAAACTGAAGATGTGACCAACGCCGGGTCTCTGTTGCAAACTTACATGAGGTTTCTCTCCCACAGGTCAGCAAATTCTTGACTTTCTGCCATGGCTTGTTTTAGATTCGCAAAACTACAGATATAACACAAAACTTTCAGTCAGCTCAGCACTTGAGAGAAAATATAATGAAAATACAACACCTCGTTCGATATTTTTAAAACGGTTCGGCCGGCGACGTTGTCTCTTTACGGAGTGCGATAACTTTCAAATTAAACAACCAAATCACGTTTGTAAATAGTATCGCGAAAAGTTTTAAGGGCAGGTTTAAATCAAGTGACCGCTCAACGGAAACATTCACATAAGCGCTCTTCTATGAGCCAAGTTTCTAAAATACCGCTTAGCTAACTGTTAGCTAAATTTGCTTTACAAGCTAATCGCATATTTGTAGATACCGTTAAAGTCAAGAAAAAAAAAACATTCAGACATCAAAGACAGATTTCTTAAAAAGACACAATAAGTTAACGTGTTGCATTAAAAACATAATTTTAACATTTTCGACTGCTAGCTAGCTAACCTGCTTCACGACTTGACGTTACGATAACGTTTAAAGCGCCGTTGGGCCTCTGAGTTTCCGCTCTTGTTAATTCATTAGTTTTAGACAAAATTTTTAAATCCGCTTTTATCGCATCGAGGTCAGCTCGTTAAAATAACAATATCTGCACGCATAAAGTAATCTTGTACTCTAAATCCCGACTTTAATGCACGAAATAGTTTCGAATCAAACAATTAATGTAAAAAAAAAGTATGTTCTCACAGATTACGAATCAGCACAATTGTCTCTCTGTTACCTTGCGATAATTTACTTCTCCGACCTCCTCTCCCCCAAACGGTTTTCACGTTACTCTCGTAAGAGTCTTGCGGTGATGCGTTCCGAGTGACTCACGCAAGGGCCAAAACAACACAACATAAAAATAGGCTTCTTTCAAACCCAAAGCAAAATCCACGCGTGGAGTTTGAGGGGATTCCCCTACAGGAGGAGTCTGCTGACGTCAGCGTCACCTGACTACCGGACTCGCACTTAAATGAAAACAAGGGAAAAAAAGAAAAGAAAAAAGAAAAACACGCAGAAAATGACCGATTTTTAATAGAACACTGGACATTTCGTTCGCATTTTTGTTTGAATTTTAAAATGATCTAAAATGTTACCGAAAACCGGACATGCTATTACAAAAGGCGCGAAATCTGCATAATGAGGAAGTTGTTTAAAATGTCCACCAGACTAGTCCGTTTTTATTATAGTGCTTTGCATTTAGTCGCGGGAGAGCGTTCCGAATACAAAATATTTGTTTTTAATTCTATATAATATTGGACTACATGACGTGACGTATTTTGCAAAGCGTATCTATCGATGTATAGGCAAAGAATGAAGTTAGAGATTAATAATACAGAGACAGAAGGGCCATTGATTTTATTAGGTTAGAAAAACTCATGAGCTCATCTCCAGGATATGGTATGGTAAGCATCAAATCAAAACTATATAAATCTAACAGAGGGATAAACCGAGTCACTAATTTTTGCTGACATATGTTGTGTGCTTCTGCAGAAATGTCACCAAATAATGAGCTCCAGAGGCCTACCAAAATTACTGCTTACCCAATTCACAGCCACAGAATTTCTGTGATTGCTACTCGTGAGTTATAAAATCATGCATGAAACCTCTTACGATTCACATCACGTCCCCACATCACTTACATAATAGAAGATGAGGTCTTTCATGATCGATACACCACTCAGAATGAAAGTGGTGTTATGATGAATAACATTTCAGAAATGTTATTATTTACTGTTATATGTCACTCACATTTATAATATTTAGCCTAACTGTTAAATGTACATTCTGCAGTACGCATACATTTACGAGGAACAAATGCTTGTACATACATTAGAAAGTTAATGGAGCTTAGAGGCAGTTTTTGGTCTACAACAGAAACCATGATCCAGCAACCGGTGAGTCAACATCAACACCATTCTCTCTTTTGCTTTTTGTTGTGATTTAATAACACACCAGAAGAAATAAAACCACAAGAAACAAGTTAGTTTAGTTTATAATTTAAACTTTATACTCCCATATGAAACTACTTACACTTGTGCATCTCTGTTGTTCTCGGAGATAAAAATGACAAATCAGTCACAATGCAAATCACTTAATTTGATATTATGATTCATTCATAATGAGTGTGATTAATTTTTTATTGGCATTGGTATTATAATAAAAAAGAAATGAGTTAAAAAAAAAGACAAAAGTAGGATTCCACATATATATTTTGTATAGTTAACATTACCAAGTGCAGTGGTATAAATCACATTTCTGTAACAGTATTGTGTTTTAGAGAAAGAAAATAAATTACTTTGTAGAACATGTAATAGACCCATTACAGTATAAAAGACGTAATGAAACTTTACTAATTGTTGTTTTTCCTTTGCTAATTATGCACTTAATTGCTGATAATTTATTATTTAAAATTATGAGCAATTAATTTTTATTGTGTCAAAGACTATCTTTGCCTTGTCATCACTTAGAACTTCATTCCAAATGACATATCTAAGGTTTTACACAACTTTGTGTTTTGTAATTAATTTTTCACCAAAAAGGAAAAATTATGGTGATCGATATTATAAACCTAGTTGAGGACGATAAAATAAAATGTGTGCCCTTTTTCTGATGATGCTTCAGAGAAAGGGACGTGTGTGCACGTGTGTGTGAGGGAACATTCAAGAAAATATCTGAAACCTACAGCTAAAAAGCACATGTTTTTGAATTTCTCTCTTTTAAAAAGAAAAATCAGATAATTATATAAAATACACTTTAATTTGTTTATAGTGTGTGCCCTTTATTTAAGAAAACATAAAATCACCGGGTAAACTCTTACATTTCCTATGTCATCTCAGTAGACACTTTGCACTTTTTTCAACCTTTTAACTCGGTTTCATGGATAAGAGACACTCTGAAGTATCATAGGTACAGCAAATATGGTGTAAATATGTTGTGTGATTTTATTTCTAGCATATATTTTCATTAATGGCATTGACTTGTATTTTCCCTCAATGCTTGTTCAAAGTATATTTAGAATTCTAGCTTATCAGTATTATTATTGTAATAGAATCGGAATTTTCAGGATTAAACATACAAATCCAAAATTCTTGATGTTTACAATAAATGATAAACCCCACGTCACATTAACATTTCCTCGTTTTATGAAAAGTCTAATTCTGATATGCAGTTACCACAATAGCATAAAATTTACCAAAGAGAAGCGTGAATGACTTCATAATATAAGGCAAAAAATTGATCTCATATGTTCAAATCAAAAGGAAATGAGCAAATATATAAAAAAAACACTCTGCATATCTCAAAATGGCTGACACATCACTGCACAACTCAAATTTTCTATAATGCATGTAAAATCATAAATGTATTACAAGCCGAAATAAATAATCATAATTCGGAGATAATACTGAGATTCAACTTTGTTTTTTCCCGTGCCTCATCACAGTTCTTATCAAGCACATGTCACTTAGCATTTAGCAACCAGGCACCTCTGCCCAAACCAAGGATAAAAATATTAAAAACAGGATGAAAGATCTCCGAAATTGCATAAATAAATGTAAAAGCGAACAATTTTACATCAGATTTGCTTACAAATAAAGACATTTGTGCAGAGCTCGTATAGATCAGCTACCTTGTCACCCACCTGTTAATGTTTGGAGCTTCAGTCCTAGAACTCGGAATAAAGTTCTCAAATCCCGAATATGAAGTCGAAGGATACGCAGGTTCCATCTCGCAAATTAATCGCGATTAACGGAGAGCGGACATTGTTAATATTCATCAGTTTGAGACAGAAAGGTGGCTACATGAGTTTATGCAGTGAACTTGTCAAATAAGAACCAAAAACGTCATGAAGGGGGGTCAAGGGACAACCAATAGTTTTTCGTGCGACTTTTTAAAATATGGATGAACCGCATATCCTCGAAAATACCCGGGAATATATTTTGGCCCTATAGCATAAATGATTACAACTTGTAACATCTCCACAACTAAATCCAAAGCACTGGCAAAATACAACATTGACTAAAATGCAAAGACAAAAATATATGTACTCGGATACTGCCACTTACTTGATTTATAGGAAGACAGAACTTGAAGAAAAAAAAACAAAACACAAACCATAACCATCGGTACCCAGTGATGCAGTACTTTCCTGCCAAAGAGCCGAAGAGTCAGACCCATTCATTGGTTGCCACTGCACTTTCATTTTGACGCATCTCATTTAAAAAAAAAAAACCTGTTATAATAAGTAATACACCAAGAATTCGGTTTCTTTTGCTGTCTGTAAATGTATTTTTCTTGTTTTTCGAAAGGAGCCCATCTTCATGAGTCATGAGAGGCTTTCTCTCTCTCTCACTCACTCTCCCTCCCTTCTTCTCTCTCTCTCTCTCTCTAATACCGGCTCAAACTGCATTGTCAACTTCCGCCCTGCTGTCTCTCCAGTGGCTGGCCTGCATACAAAACCTCCCAACCATTTCAATGTCCCATACATTCTGCAGTTTAATTTCCATTCAAAAACGATGATATCGACCAAATGTGCTCTTCTTGTACACGGTTCTCACATTCTGCAGCTCTCTCATTCTCTTCCGATGAGCTGAATCTTCCCGCCTGTTTAGTCACATGTTGCCTCTCACGTCACTAATTTGACTAACTGACCCAGCATCACACTGTACACATTGCATTAAACACACAGAACAAGGACAACACACTGAGTGACCAACAACTGGCTTTCGTTTGAGTCTGATACAACAGCTGAAGAGGTGACAGGGTGTTTCACTTTTGATGTTTTTTCTTGTCCTCGAGTTGACTAGGCTAACGTGTTGCAATCTGCGGCTTGGTTATTTCGTGGCAGATTGAAAGGGAAACAGTGACTGCATAGCCATTTCAAAGAAATCTCGGATTATCGCATACATATGAGCTCACTTAAGTCACCGACAAATGGGTTCATTGTTATTCACCGAGCATACACTTAAAGTTAACCCAAAGGAGTGAATCGAGGCGTTTTGTAGCCTTTTATTTCTTCAAGAAGCTTGGTTTATGTCATCTTCAACATGAATCACTCAGTCACATAGTTCTCACTTTGGCTCACTCTCTGACGGTTTGAGACCGAGAGCAGTTTGAAAAAAAAAAACAGCTGAGGCCAACAGTAAGTGGGCGGGCCGGAGGTGAATCAACAGCTAAATTTGTGTTCGCTCTCTTTCACACACACACACACAATCTCTAATTCCCGCTCTTTTTCTACACGCATATACTGACAAATTTTTATAGCAGATATTCACTTCATTCATACTTGCACAAACACTCAAGACTGGACCACATTTAGAATGTGTATTGTTTTATGCAAATTATTTGACAAACTAAACTTAATCTCATCCTTGAGATGCAACCACAAAAAGGTGTCTCTCAGACCCTGCAGTAAATGCAATTACTGTAAAAGGAGTGGTATGGAAAGGGAGGCAGACAAGTTCCAACCTACACAACTTCCTTCATAACTTCCTGCCAAGTTGTCCTGCGGTTTTTGAGAGGACCTTTTGGAAGTCTCTGATGGCTAACCACACACTTCCATGGCATTTTACTAAAAGTACTCTTGTCAAGTGACCTCATAACTTATAAAATTGCAGTTGATTCAGAAATAAACATTCGGTCATTATTTGCTTTCCCTCATATCATTCCAAACATTTTTCTTCTTCTATGAAACACAAAAAAATGTTCCATTTGTGTTCCACAAACGAAAGTCAAAGGTTTTTGAGAACATGAGGGTAAGTGAATAATGAGATTTTTCATTTATCCATTTAACAGTACAAATCAAGTGATTTACTTATAATGGCTTCAGAATATGAGATGTTTACAGAGGCGGACAAAGTACTCAACTCCATTACTTGAGTGAAAGTACAGATACTGCTGGTCATTTCTATTCATATAAATTACATCATATATAAATATATTTAATATATAAACGTAACATTTTTCTTATATACAAGCATGTGTGTGTATTTATATATACATAAATATACACAGTGACAGTACACACAAATATATTACGTAAACAAAAACTTATTCTGGATGCGATTAATCGCGATTAATCGGTTGACAGCACTAATATACTTATATATATATATATATACACACATGCATACATATATCTCACTGACCCCAAACCTTTGAACAGTAGTGTATAAATGTACATTCATTCCATAATTAATTATTTGGTTTGGCCAGAACTCACTGCATGTGCTTGTTGTGAGGACGTTCCATGCGTGAATGCGCCTGGGGAAGCTGGCCTTGGTGGATGTGCGTATGTTAAGCCAGACTGTCCAAAGAAAAACCGCAAGACATTTATGTCCAAAACATAACAAGAGCAAAGAAATGCTACTATTTTAGGCTATTTAGGTTATTCCCTTTATCTTAATCAACTGAACATCTGCAACAATGCAACAGAAAGACTATGGTAATATAGATTTCATTAATTGGCTTGGCTCTGACCTTGCCAGGAGGGATCTGGACAGCAATAGAGGGAGTAGGCAGCAAACCTGCAGCGCTCACATGCAGAGCCTGCGGATGCATGGGCCTCAATGGACTCTGAAAACACAAATATGAGTAATGTTTGCACAGACACAGGCATCCAGTGAACCTCTGCACTCAGCTGTTCAAAGCAGCTGACCTTCCTTTGTTCCTGTTTATCAGAGTTTACATCCTGACCGGCCCTACTTACCGAGTCTGTGAAGCCAGACTGCTGGTTAGCATGTTCCAACTGTTTCTGCAGGGGAATCCCAGCACTGGGGATGTAACCTGGAATGAAAAAAGGAATACAGAAGGATTGCAAAGGTGTCTGCCAAAAGGAAGATGGAAAAATGTTTTAAACCTATGTGGGACAAGCCCTGTTGAAAAACTTACTGTCTTGCTGTCTACTGTATACATACACTAGTTCAAAATTTTGGGCTCAGTAAGATTTTCATCTTTTAAAAAAGTAATTCTTCTATTCAGCAAGGATGCACTTTATGCATATTTTTACTGTCACTTTAAATTAATATTGTTACAAAAGTTTTCGATTACAAATAAATGCTGATTCTTTTGACTTCTTATTCATCAAAGAATCCTATTTTTTAAAGGGGTCATATGATGCTGCTAAAAAGAACATTATTTTGTGTATTTGGTGTAATGAAATGTGTTTATGCGGTTTAAAGTGAAAAAAACACATTATTTTCCACATACTGTACACTATTGTTTCTCCTCTATGCCCCGCCTTTTTGAAATAGTTTATTCCTGATGTCTTAAACTCAAGGGAAATGTAGGCTAGGACAGACTAAATAGAGTGGAATGCTTTCAAGATGAGGTGAAGTGCTATGTGGTCAATAGTACTGGGGATTTCCACAGTATTTAAGAGGAACGGTCAAAAAAAAAGATCTAAATTAAATTGAAAATAAATGTTGAGTGCTGAATAAATTTAATCATTATTAAGGTATTTACATAAGCCAATATCAAAACACACTTGCACCCAACCACATAATTCAGTGCCACTAAAAAGAATAATACAGACAAAAGAAAAATCGAAATAAAAAGACCACAACTATTTATTACTGTTTTAACAAGTTCTTTTAAACAGATTATTCATAAAATTTGTTTTTGAGTGCAATTTTGTGAAATTCAGTTGGTTGGCTAAAAACATTACATTTACAATTTAAAATCATATGAAAATATTATTTCCCTGTTCTCTGAATAAGGGAAAAGGTGCATTCATCAATGTTAATGCAAGCTATAGACGGCCCTGAGTGGGAGGTCTGTTACAGAACATGGAAATATAGTCTAATCTGTTCCTACATTGTTTAGTTAGTTTTAAAACCACATTTAACTCTAGTTGTGCCATTTAGTGGTAGCATTATAATGTTACTAATGTTGGCACAGCTGTTGCCGACGTCTTCAAATGCATAAAAGAAACTTTCAGACACATCCCACTGTAATACTGAAATAAATGGCATACCCGGTTGCAAAAGGAGGTCTACCAGCTGAAGAATAACAGAAAATGACTTGCATGTGACAGTAACGCAGTCATGTGTTCTACGTCATTACACTATGATGCCAAGCGTTGTGTGCTATTTAGCTTTAATCCAAAAGCCTTCAAAGTGTAAGTGGTGAATCTTATCTTCAAACCCTAACATCTATCTGCATTGGACTGAAGTGAATAGCTATTTGCCATGGTGGTAAAACCTCTGCCCTGATTGGCTGTGAGAAAGGTAGGCGTGGCGAGGGGTTGGTTGAGAAGAGCTTTGAAATGTAGCCTGTACAACAAAAGGAGAAAAAAAAGAATGTAACTTTTCTTAAACAGATCTTAATCAGACACTAAATTATTGTTACACAAACTTTTATATTTTTTATAACTTATATTCACTACTGATCTCCAAAAACTTGGAGATCTGAAATCTGACGTTTATCAATTAAGATACTATATATATATATACACACACATTACTATTCAAAAGTTTGTGGTGGTAAGAATTTTTAAAATGTTTCTGAAAGAAGTCTCTTATGCTCACCAAAGCTGCATTTATTAGATCAAAAATACAGTAATATTGTAAAATATTATTACAATGTAAAATAACCATTTTCTACTTCAATATTTTTTTAAATATAAATGTAATATATTTTGAAATGTATTTATTCTTGTGATAGCAAAGCTGAATTTTCAGCAGCCAAATAGTTGTGCTGCTTAGTGTTTTTGTGGAAACTGATATATAATATGTTTTTCACAAATTTTTTCAGGATTCTTTAATGAATATAAAGTTGAAAAGAACAGCATTTATTTAATATGAAAATATCTGTAACAATGTAAAATACTTTACAGTAAGTTTTGGTAACTTTAATAAAAAAAAAATAAAATAAAAAAAATTTATATTATACACACACACACATACCGTATATATTAGTGCTGTCAAACGAACGATCGCATTCTGAATAAAAGTTTTTGTTTACATAATATATGTGTGTGTACTGTGTATATATATATATATATATATATAAATATAAATACACACACATACATGTATATATTTAAGAAATATTTACATGTATGTGGGGGCGTGTTCGAACGAGCCGTTTTAGGTAGGTGTGGCTAACTCTTAACTTTTATAAAGAATATCTCTTTGGATTTGAGACTTTAGTCTTTGCAACTTTACAGATCTTCTTTATGCACCAAGAGCTTGTAACACTCTAAAGAGAAAGGAAAAAATGAAATCGCATCATATGACCCCTTTAAAATAAAGTATAAAGTATTTTACAATATTATTGTTTTTATTGATTTTTTTGATACATGAAATAAATGCAGTCTTGGTGAGCGTAAGATACTTCTTTTAAAACATTAAAACTAAACTGACCCCTAACTTTTGAATTAGTTATTCTAACTAAAACTGCACCTTAGATTGGCTGATTTGAAACACTATTTATGCACCACAACATTAGTAATCACTTATCACCACACATATTTAAATATACTATTTCATTATAAAACACACACAGGCACATTACACACACCAGGCTGAGAGGTGAAATGACTGTGGACCGCATAGCCCTGCTGCTGATGGGGCAGGTACTGCATGGCCTGGAATGCTGATGCACCTGGAAAAAGAAAATGATAACATCTTGCAAGCAAGTAACACATATCCACATCTAAACATATGGACTGAAGGAAAATACGAACAAGGCACCTCTAAGTTGTGAACCACTGGCATAGTTGGCTGGCACCGGCTGACTGGAGGCAAAAGGTGATGCATGCTGCGGCTGAGTGACTCCATACGGGCTGTGACTCGGCTGGCCTCCAGAATACTGGCCATGCTCTGTTCCACCTGCACTGAATCCCGGCTGAGATTGGAAATGACGCGTCTGAGACGGTGGCAAGCAGCCAATAATGGTTTTAATGAACACAAGCACACACACCGGAAAAAAAAATAAAGATTGATTTAAACTAAAATATCACACTCACAGGAATGACTGGAGACTGGAAGAGCTGTTTGCTGCGTTCCCCAAGAAGAGCACCTGGACGCCCATGACCAACCTGACCTGCGGAGTGAAAATGAGCAGTGGAGCAAAATGAAGTCATTATTGAAGGGCAATTCTAGTAAATTCTGACAGTTACAGCTTTATACTTCTTTGACAGATCACTGAAGATGCCAAACAGTGGTCACCTTGCATGCTGAGAAGGTGCTGCCCAGAGTGGATGGCCATGTTAGACTGGTATGTTGCCGAAGTCAGAGATGTCATGTCACTGTAAACATATAAAAGAATTCTAGTTATAATAAACTGATTAACAAATGTCATTTTCAAAATCTCTGACAGCTTTGGATAATAATTTCTCGTCATATATATATATATATATATATATTTTGTTTCTCATCTGTTCTTGAATTTCTTTAGATCGCGGCATGATGTGTTGCTCTTTAAGCATATGCTTCACTTGGTCAGGTTCTATTTAAGTGATTTCTTGATTCAACAGGTCTGGCAGTAATCAGGCCTGTGTGTGGCTAGTGAAATTTAACTCAGCTTTCTAAAATGATGTGGTTAATCATAGTTCTTTCATGATTTAAGAGGAGGGGCAAATAATTTTTCACGTAGGGCCAGGTAGGTTTGGACAGCTTTTTTCCCTTAATAAATGAAATTATCATTTAAAAACTGCATTTTGTATTTACTTGCATTATCTTTGCGTAATATTAAAATTGGTTTGATGGTCTGAATCTTTTAAGTGTGACAAATATGCACAACCAATATTTTTTTAAGGTCTTTTATGCTCAACTAGGCCTGGCTGTCACGATAACAACTTTTTGTTGTGTGATATATTGCCCCAGAAATAATTGCGATAAGCAATATTATCCCATACAGATTTTTCCCTGACCTTTTTTTCTCTGTAAATTAATGGTGCACACAGGGCAGGACTTAGGGGGGTGGGGGCCCCTGGGCTTGAGGTTATGTTTGGGCCCTATACCTACACTACAAAACAATTAATATGCAACATGTCTAGGCTATAGTCAAAGTTTTAATGTAATATTAAATATTCATTATAATATAATAAACTAGATGTGTCAAAACCCTGAAATAACTTTGAGCAAAAAAAAAAAAAAGCCAGAGATGTTGGCTTATTAGTATTATAAAAGTTATTGTCATATCTGTGTCCTCTTATGTCAGGTTCTTATTTAATCAATAAATTCAATCGAATAAAAAGACATGCTGGCTATTAACAATCAAATTAAATCACTATCAACAAAATTCATAGATGGATTGTGCATAAATTTTATATAACGTTTTAATGTAGAAATATTAAATGATTGCAAAAATGAAATAAGATACTTTTTTAAATATGAAACTACAACCGCCAGTAGGTGGAAGCAAGTGACTGTCTTAATGAGTGAGTTGAATCAACCGATTCATTTAAAAAGGTGATTAATTTAACTTTGCAAACGACTACTTATAGTTATAGCCTGATTGAATCATTTGCTGGTCCGTGTAACGCTGAGGAACAAAACACTGTTGTTCGGAGACGCAGCGGTTCTGCTGTTTGTTCTATTTTCTTTCCGACGGAGCAAAATGGAATTTTGTGTCTGAAAGTTACTCTGTATGTTGTTGTTTATTGTACATTTGCGATCATGCAGATATTTGAAAAAAAAAACAGGACTCTTGTTTGTGTGATAGGCTAAGTCCTATATCATAGGCATAGCTATGTTATAAAAACAGAAACTCATCAAATTGCTATTTTTTAATTTAAAATCATTTTGATGACATTTCTTCCCCACTATGTGTAATGGCAGTAAGACGAGAGAGAGCGCTCAAAACTCATCAGATGATCGCATAATTTAGTGGAATATTAATATAGTAATATAGAATCATCCTCTGTAAAGAAATTATGTGTGAACATTTGAGAATTTATCATTATCTTTTTAAATGTGCGCCCTTTGGGGCTAAAGGCTTAATGGAGCTGTTTAAAGCCATGTGATAACAAACTAATCGGTGCAGATGCGCTTCAATACGTGTGTCCTTCTTCTATGTGAAATAATCATAAATACCAGTTTATGCTGTTTGATTGTTGCCTTGAAGGTCGTAGTTGTAAGCTGTAGCCCCGGCTGGCCCGTTTAGATCTTGCGTGCGCAGTGGAAATGCGGCTAATAATTTCTGAATTCTGACTGGCATATAACGAACAAATCAAACAAACGTAAACTGGAAAAAGGCGGGGCCCCCTACAAGGCGGGGCCCATGGGCTGCAGCCCACTCAAGCCCAGTGGTAAGTCCGGCCATGCGTGCACACTATTGATGAAAAACACAATCACTACTTAGCAGTCAGATGACCGTATACACAAAGGCACAGATCCCTAAACAAGGCCATATCTGCAGATGAAAGTTTTTTTTTTGTAGAAGCATTTTTTAAAATTTGAACTAGCACCTCATGACTACACCACACTATGTACGAGAAGCTGCAAAAGACACAGGCAGAAGCGGAATGTACAAACATGGTGACATTAATTTTTAAGTAAATATAATGGGCGATATATTGCGTCACCAAAAATTATTGAGGTCATGTACATATATTGCGCGACAAGTCGATATACTGATTATTGCGACAGGCCTATGCTCAACAAGGCATACACAAAAACAGTAAAACTGTAATATTGTGAAATATTATTACAATTTAAAATAACTGTTTTCTAACAGAACTCTTTTCTGTTTGATTAGTGGCAGTCAGAAGAAGTCTGAGCATTGAAAACTAATTTTTTATCATCATGTCTGCTTCTGCTCTTCTCCGGCTTTCTCAGTCAACTTCTTGACTGTTAAAACAGTTTTGAGTACCAGACAAAACACTTGTTTTGGATTCCAGACAACTATGCTGACTAGTTGTTCGGATCCCAGACAAAACGGAGAGGATCTGGCTTCTGGGGCTTGATATACTATTTATGGCGTGGAGACTTAACTTTTCCATTTGACATCTGAATTTGCCAGCTCTCTTTTGCATACCTCTGTTCTTTCCGTCGTCTTTTCTCCTCCTCATGTAGGACTTTCTTCAGCTGCAGAAAAAGCTGATGCTTCTCCTCTTGAAGACCCTGCAGCTTCACTCCCATCTTCATTATCTAATAAGAAAGAAATAAAGGGTTGTTCATGAGTCCTAAACAACATAATTACAACACCATTTGTAAATAATCCAAGTATTAGTCAATCATATAGACGCACCTGCTCTTTTGTTTCCTCTAAAGACATTCTCTCCTCCATCTCTTTCTTCCTCTTCCTCTCTTCCTCTTCTTTTAGTTTCTGCTCCATCATTTTATCAACCTCTTCTTCCTCTGAGATAAACAATTGATAACCGATCACAAAGTACACATGATCAACAACACTATAATTCACACAATACACCATAATTCAATATGGAAATTATTTTATTATTTATTTTAGTAAAAATAATATACAGCAGAATTCTGGGCTCACCTTGCCTCTTCCGCTCCCTCTCTCTCATAATGTGCTTGTGCAAGGCACGTGCCATGGCATTAGACAGTTTGGGCCTCTCCAGAAGAGCCGGCATGATGGTAGGGATTGGCGGTGCCAGCTGTCGAGATGTTAGAAAAATTTTACAACATTAATATCAGCATCTACATTTTTAGTCACTAATGAGTCCACTAAGACTGAATTCAGATTTTAGTGGCCTTACCACAACTAGAATAGTCAGAGTGAGAAACAATTCAAGAACTGATAGTCAGGAAATCATTTAACCATGTTAAATGGCAACGTTAAAAATATAACAGAACCAAGAACATTCTTAGCATTGCTGTACAGCAGGATTTAGACATTTGACGGGTTCAGGATGACACATCACAAACACAAACTTAGAGCAGCTGTCAAAAAGTTGACAAGCCTTGCTAACGTTGTTTAAACCAACTTACCATATCAATTCTAAAAACCAAAGACTACGAGTTAGAGCAAAATATAAATAAGAAGAAAGAGATGTGGTAATCTGAGAAGCAATACAAGGCAATAAATTAGCAAACTCCCTGAACTGGGTTAGCTCTATAAAGGCTTCACAAGCTAGCTAGCTAAGCTTGCAGTAACCTGAACGTTTTGACAGTCGATTCAGTTAATCTGTCCAAGAAAATCATCTTTCATAAGCTCGATGTTACAGACGAAAGCGATTTCAGTATTTTCTATTTGCAGTAAGTTGCATTAACACCCGACCATTAGGCCAGCAGGCTAACGGCTAAAGTGACAGCTTAGCCAGCTAGCTTGCAAAATCAGCGAACTAAATAAAACTCTTGCAGTGACATTCGTGGAATCTTCATGTAACGCACTTTTGTCCGTTTCTGAGATTAAAAGTATGCTGAGCTTGTCTGAAGGCTTTCCTTAAAGAAAAATAAACAAGTGTATCAGTAATTAACCGAAATATAAAAATTGACAGGAAACCCAGTTTGGCGCACTTCCGCTGTGGACGTGTATTGATGACGTCACGCGTCAGTGAGCAGAAATGAAACGCCCATCAAGACGTTTCATCGGCCCGGCTTGCAGCTATGGTTTTGAAAATATTTTAGCTTTTTTCCCCACATAAGACAAGTCTTATAAGGAATATAATTTACATAATCTGCTATCGTCTAAATAAAATGTCTATTAGTTACATATATACATAAATATAAATATGTGGGAAATAAGTTTTTTATTTTGAAGGCAAAAGCTGAGCAATACCTAAAACAATACAAAGTTTGAAAAATAAAGCTGTTAAATGTGTTCATTTTTTATTGTAAAATTTATTTGATGTTTTATTTAGTTTATTTCTTCTGGTTTTCTTTTTCGGTTTCTGTATGTACCTGCACAAGTCTGCTAGGCATAACTTTTAATTATTTTTAAATCATATGCTTAATTCTTCATGAAACCTTTTATCTATCTATCTATCTGTCTGTCTGTTCTCAGATATGTGAGAAAAGCATAACTCAAAACCCATTAAAGACTGACACGGGCAGCTTTTTACATCAGGTTTATAATTATGGCAAGCTTAAGATTGGTGACCATGACAATTAACGCTTTTAGGGGAAAAGGAACAAAACACACCAATCCATGATACAAACAAGCCAAAAAAAAAAAAAAAAAAAAAAAAAGAGGCCAATCAAGTCATGAACGTCAACCTCATAATAATGATTATAAGAAAATTGAAACATAAACAAGCAATCTCCTACAACACGTCAAATGAAAATAAACATTTTTTTGAAATCTTTTAACCAGCTTATTCAAATGAACAGCAGCCCCAACCCATTTCAAAATAATAATTATTGGCAACGGTACACAAACACACTTACACTCACACACATTACATGGTATGATAGTCCAGTATTATCAGTGATTTTGGTCTGTGCAAATATGGTGGCTAAAAAACAAACTCGAACCAAACATTAAAGATCGACAGAATAGCAAGGTGACTGCAGGTTGCATGTCGGTGCAGGGGGAAAGTGAGAAAAGGTGAAAGGAGAAGTGTAGAACATTGAAAAAGCTTTTACGGATATGAGTACCACTAATTTACTGAAACAGACCAGGACGTAGGTTGTATCCGGTCTGCCTAAAAGCAAGACTGAGGGAGGAACTCTTAAGTAGGAAGGAACAATATGCAGGCAGCATAGAGTACAAACAATATTTCACGAACAGACTAGGAGGATATGAAATTGCATTCAACATGTACACTTCAAGTGGCCTAACGTATTGATCATTTTATTTTAAGGAAGGGTAGTGTGGGGCAAGTAAATTGGTTACACATCTCGCAAAACATTCCCATAGACGCTTTCATCACTGTAGGCAATGTAAAGGAAAAAGTCTTCTTCATGGTGCTCCTACAACACAGAAACAGAGACGAAGAGTTTAGAGATGCTTCTTTTTCATTAATCAAAAATGACATTTAATGAATTCTACTGATATAAACAAACAAAAATAATTATGTTCAGATACATTCAAATGATGTACCTGGTAAAGCAGCCCCATAGTGGCTGATGTTGGAGGAATGACGTTGTTTACAAAGAAGAAGAGGGCATCTTCGGCCCTCAAGTGGATCCTTTTCCGAATGAGGAAGTAGAACTGCCCCACTTCCGAAATAAGAAAAAAAAATGTCAATACATATCCTTCATTTTTTAATACTATTAAAGATTATGCAAATTGTTCTGTATTGCTCAAGGAAATGAACCTGTGAGGTCAGACGGGACAAGATATTTCTTCTTGTCCAGATCTCCTATTCTGGCTTTGGGAGCTTTCTCGACGATCACCTGTGGAAAACAAATCACTGCTGGTAATAACAAACACTGACAGTAATGTGAGAACAACAGCATCTTTTAGTAGTATAATAACAATGCTGTTATGGGAATTCCCCAGCTTAGGGCACATTCCCATTCTAACAATTTTGGTTGCTGATATTTGACGGTCGACACATAATGCAACCGAAAACGAACCCAGTGTGAGGCCACATGGTAATGTGTCAGAAAATTTCATATTCTAGTCATTTAGTCCTCGATTCTGTCAAAATAACAAGGTTCATATGAATGACTCGCAGAGACGATCTCTCTATATGATATTTAATACCTTGAATGTAAACTTACAACACATAATCTTATAAAAAATGTACTGGTTATTCTATTACTTGTACTGTAAACGATGCCACAATTTTGTATTGAGACGGAAGCTAACAGGCTAACGCCAGTCCCTTCATATATTTGAAGGACAGCTTAAAACGACGATGACAATGCACGATTTCGCGTGTTTTTAGACGAACGATTATTTTCACACGGTTTCCCCTCATAAATTAGCGTTGTCACTGTGTAAAGCCTCGGTTTATGTTATTTGTACGAGCGGGGCCCTGACAAAAACAACTAATTTGTCTGACTCACAGGCACTCTATCCGGGTACTTCTTTCTGATTTTCTCCCCTTCAGACCGTCGCTTCTCAAATGGATGTTCTTCTTTGTACATAAACTTCATTGTCACAGGCTGGGAGATCTTAAAAATCTCCAAGAAAATCTGCCGTAGATGGTGTTTACAAACTAGCTTGCTGTTTCTTTTTCTCTTTTGGATAACTGCGTCGGAGGGCGGAGGGATATCCAATAACAAGGAACAAGGGAGGCGGCGAACGACACGTCACATTACGTCAGTTGCGTAATGACGTCTGCAGTAGCCTGGAGGCTTACGTGGCATTACCTGAAACTGTAGAACAGGGGTGCCCAAACTCGGTCCTGGAGGGCCGGTGTCCTGCAGAGTTTAGCTCCAACCCCAATTAGACACACCTGAACCAGCTAATCAAGCTCTTACTAGGCACACTAGAACCTTCCCAGCAGGTGTGTTAAGGCAAGTTGGAGCTAAACTCTGCAGGACACCGGCCCTCCAGGACCGAGTTTGGGCACCTCTGCTGTAGAACTAGACGCCAAAATAAATAAAATAAAATGCCGGCTAAGTTTGACAAATTAGTCATTAGAAACCACAGAAGAGTTTCAAGTTCAATCAAAACACATCTGATATTTTGCTAAGTCTGCTCCCTCTTATAAGGGAATATGGTAGGGGGTTGTTTAGGTAAAACAAGGACAAAATGTCAAACCCATGCCATGAGGCAAAGTAAACAAAGAGGACTTAAATAAAACTTTAGGTCATAGATGGGTACCTTACAGAGGTATTTAAAATCCAACAGTAACATTTAGTTTAATAAATGCCTAAAAAAGAAAAGGTACAACTGAGACTATCAAGCTGCCGGCAGTCCCTAGAAAAAGTCATCCTTCAAAATTATTTGGAAGACAAGCCACAAAGCCACAGTGAAGCCAACAATTTCTTTGACCATGTAAGTGGAGCAATGATGCATCAGTTTGCCATCATGAAATCTACGAAACGCTAATTGCAGGGTGGCACAAAAGAAGCCACTATAAAACATGTAGAGATGAAGATGAACTGCTAAAAGCATAATATTAATCCTGCGGTGAATGGGTCAGATTTTCTGCTCAGAGTTTTTGACAAAATTCAAATTGTGGCACAAATCCAACATTGCCCACACTTTAAACACTGGGCCTTATTCATGAAACACAAGCAGAATTAATTTTTGTGAAAACCATTCATAAAGCCATTCTCGCATAATTACATTAAATGCTCCACTGAATTAAAATGTATAAGAATGGCTTTTATAAATGTTCTACATTGAAATATGTTCTGCTTGTGCATCATGAATGGTATGTATGTATGGTACTGGGTTGATTTTTATTAGAAGTAACAGAGCAAAACAAAGCAAAAATAATGCAGAACCTGTTTCAGTTAGCTAAAAATATTAAGTTATTTTGAATATATATATATGTTCTACTGCCAAACCCCAATCCAATTCAATCTGGGCACTATTCAAAAATTGTAGTGCATCATCTTAAGGGAAAAAACCCTGGAACAAATATAAATAGAAGAATGGGCTAAAGTCATTCCCAATTTAGATTTTTTTCCCCATTCCCACCAATTATGGTATGGTCCATTTCACTACAAATTATGAGGTCAAAAAAAAAAAGAAACATGCATGAACAAATTGTTTACAATAAGATGCATTTAGAATATAGATATGCATGAATTTTCATTTCATACAGACTTTAAATTCATTTATAGCTTTGAAATCTAAATATCACAAGAACAAAACAGAATCCAGGATCTGTAATTCAGTAAAATGAAAATTGGTTAAGAGTCTGAATACTTAGTTCAGCCAATCTAAAATGTTAAATACCCCCCAAAAAGTGGAAGAAACCATCATTTCAGTTGCTGACAAAAGGCTCTATTTTATTTTTCTGTAATAGAAGAGTCCTTGTTGCTCAGTGTCTCTCTCAGTGGCTGATGTATCCATATCAATGAGTATCTAAAAATGCGTCCTCGAAAACCTCTCTGATTTAACCAGAGGTTTTACATATGAGCCATAATACACAGAAAATTAATACCATAAGCTGTAATAATGAACTGTAGTTTTCTCTCCTGCTGCTCGTACATTTTTCTCTACCACAGTATACTATCAGTACAACGGTATTAACAGCTCTCAGCTCTTAACATAGAGAAGAGGACCAGATACCTGAGATGGCAGACAGAAAAAACAGAGGAAGGACAGAATCTTAGAGAGAGAATGAGTAGATAAGACCATGTGACCATTTGTGCTAAGGTCATACGAAACTAAAAAGACAAACACAGACGTTGAGGAAGGGGGGAATAAGTGCTTGTGAAGTGACTGGTAGTTACATCCCATTTACGGATTCATTTGCCCCCCAAAAAATGAAAGGTAAAATTGGAATCAGAAGCTTTCACTCAG